CCTAATGGCCACATGGAATATCAGGGTCGTTCGCCGCTGGCGGGAAAGTCTGTCACCGCAATATCATAGATACCGAAGGCCGTGCAACAGGGAGTGGAATGGTGAATTCACACTTAAAACACCTGAGTATGAGAGTGGTTGGGTACTACGAAGAGGAGGAGTCGTAGAAGGACTTGACGACGCTACTATCTGTGGGGAAAGTCTCTGCAAGCGTCGTTGCCTGACGGCGAGTCGAGGACATCGGAGTTGCGGTAGACGGCGAAGTAAGGGTGAGATAGGGGATCAGGGGAGCTAGAAGAACAGGGCCACGAAAACATGAGATGTTTTGCTAGGAGTATCCAGGACGGAAGTCGTGAGGTTGTCCACGCCGAAGACATATTCTCTGTCATCGTGTTGGATGCAGCAAATATTAGTACCCCAGGCGGCGACGTTAAGGGGGCCTTCCTAAGGTACTGGGATGACCAGTGCATGTCACATCTGAGGAAGGCTTGAGCTCAGGATAATATACCTACTGTTTGGGCGGTCGCGTCTGCATCTTCTATGCAACATGAACCCAGGACTCACATATTCGCCTCCATTCACAGCACAAAAGTTAGCGGTTGATTTCCAGTTCATTAAGAGAAAACGCGTTAAGTTGACCGCCTGACATCCGAAGTCGCCCACGCTGTCCCTAACATTCCCGTCGGTGGTGTTACCCTAAGTTTCGAGTCACTGACAGGCAGTGTTTTTCTCCCAGATCAATTTTAAATGTCTTGATTTCACCCTTTCACTTGAATACCAACATTTCTATTGACCCACTTCCGGACGTCTGTTATCACATGATGTCTTTGTCTGACGCGCATGCTTGGACGCGCGAGCCAGCGGCATAATGAGATTCTGTTTTTTAATCACTTTTGCACAACACTCCATACCACGAGGCTTTCTCTGCATAGTGTCAGACTGAGACCGTCTACACTGCTTAATCAACTCAAAGATTAACGCGGACATGCTCTGCCTTGCATAGAACTCGGACGCACCCGTTACCAAAGTGGCCAGCTGGACACACGTTGGTGGTGCGCGAGCTCTAACCACCCTCCATTCCTTCTGCGAAGAATATAATACCTCTTCTACTGAATTCAAGTTTAATCTTTTTTCAGTTGGAACTTGCTAAGGCAGTCGTAGTGGTTATGACACACAGGTAACTATAACCACTGAAACATTTCCAGTTCATTTGCTAGTTTCGGTTTAATGAGAATCCGCAGCGACCGAATACGTAGCAGAAATGGGTAACTTAGGAGGGCTCTTGATGGAAAACCTTCTGTCCTCCAAAATGGGAGGAGTCTTTGTCTACTCTACGTCGACGAAATGAGCACCTATTCCAGGCGGTTTATTGCTAGAGCTTTGTCCTGGACTCACTGCACTTCCTTTTCACTAACTGTATACAAGGACTTGCTCTCGAGGCTGTCATGCCTGCAAATGAAACTAAAATTCGGACGCAACCGACGTGCCTTTGCAACAGGCGTTGATTATAAAATTTTTCAAAAATCGACCTCTGCTGCCCGACTGAAGGTCGAAAAACAAGCCTTCCGCTTCGTTCCGAAATAGCGATCTAGATCACAAACAGGTTTTTTTTTATTGCGATGGGCTCTTGGCAGCATAAAAATGTTGCTGACAAGCAGATGGGAGGTGGGAGGCTTCATTGCGGGAAAAAACTGCTTAACTAACGTTTCGCTCATATCGGCATGGTAGGAGGAGTCTAAAATAGCAATTTCTGGCTTATTTAACATCTTCAACAGGCCATACCCTAAATCAGGAACTGAACTGTCACAGGTTTTAAACCCTGTAGTCCTAAGGACGAGCACCATTCGAAAAGACCCCAAGGTACCAACAGTACGCACTTGTACGCTGTACGACTGCGAGCACTTCTGATTAGGTCGACACAAAAAATATGAATAGCGCCTCTCCGCGATTGACGACCTGTGACAGCAAATTTGGCGAGCTCAACCCACTATCCTATCCATTGGCGGAGACCGAACATCGAAGGACCGAGAACCATCTTCACATTTTGACAGACTATGGTAGATGTGCTATCTCGTGAAATGCTAACCGAAATTCCGAAAATGCATGCTACTTATGTAGTCATTTTCTAATGAAATATAGTTTATGCAGGCGGTCGCTAATAAACTCATTCGAAAGCCGGCATTCTGACCTGACTGGAATATCTTGGCACTATGTGACAAAAATTAACATGACGACCCTAATTTGGTAGTGTTTTGGAATTGAAAGTTCAGGTAAGAATTAAGTATATGCACGGAGTAAGGAAAAATATGAAAAACTACGTACTATATTTTTCAAAGTAGGCGTTGTTCGGTAGAGCCTTTGGTCGACCCCATTGGAAGGATGACATTCGCTGACCTGTACTGCCGCGATGAGTCGGTGCTGCTGTAATGCCCACAGTGGCTTTTTGTTCTGGCCCCCCATACGTAATTCTTTAGTAAGAGGACAAATAAAGTGTTTTCAGACGGAGTCCAGTCAGACATTTTGACGGCTCTAGCCTTGGCAGGATGACTTGCACCGCCCCGAGGACGCTGGGCTCATTGTTCTGCACCTTCCACATGCACTTCTAAAAAAGGCAAAATAAAGTATTTTCGGTCGGAATCCAGTCAGGTACTTTGACGGCTATAACGGAGGGAGGATGGCATTCGTTGAACCACCCCGAGGACATGGTGCTGCAACAATGCTTACCTAGACTTATTAACATGTCCTTCTCATGCGTATTCCTTGTTCGCAGTCGACGAAATATAAGGGGCGCACGTATCGCCGTCATGTTCCGGTACCCAACGGGAACCATCACGACATGGCCTCCTCCGTATCCTCTGCGATTTACGGCGTCGCTCCCCCACCCTCAACATAATACAGACAAAGTAGTCAGAATTAATTTGTCTGAAGAATATTACTAACACGATGAGTAATTCAGTTGGGGTAATGTCACTGCACGAGATATACTTCCACACTATGGGACAGAAAGGTTTCGCATGCATTCTTCAGGCCTGATTTGTACAGCCAAAACCACAGGTGGAAATGCGCTTCGTCCACATGCCTCCACACCACTCGGCTGGATACGGGGTTTCCGTAACGTAGTTTTCATTTTAAGGCGACTGCAGTATGCTTAAATGTCACTTGTATGTCGGCCGAGCGTAAGCTCAACGAAGGTGGAGGTGTGATTGACCGTGCAGTGGTCGGAGGTGGATATACGCTCTCCACTTATCCGTTACGATCCCGCCACATTTGGCGACCCATTTTGTTATTACAGATCTTAGTACCTGTCCGCTCCTGTTGGTTACCTGTGCGAAGATAGCTTTTCCTGCATAGTATCATACATTCCAAGCAGCCAGAACTGCCTTCTCAGCCGACTAAAGTTGTACTTGCGGCGGCTTACTACCGTTTCATCTATTTGCATCTCGAAAATTGGACCGCCAAGTTGCCCGGTTTGTTTTATGAGTGCCTTTGAACACTCCTATCGGCGTATCGAGTACCATTTTACTGCCTTTCTGTGTGATAATCGTATTTCTTCAAAGCAATCCTTCACTCTTTTGCACCTTACAAATGCAAGGCAGATTCTGAGAATTTGTCTTTTTGCTAATCGGCTGGTTTCAAACACTGACCCTGTGTGTGGGGCTCTCCTCGAGCCACAACGGATATATCTGAAGTGGACACTGTCTGTATGCCGCTTAAGGATTTGTTGACTCATACGCCATCCGCTTTTGAACGTTAGGGTAATGATTAATAGTCCTCTACTCATAGCCCTTTATTCCTATTGGCTTACGAACTCCCTTGGGCTCTGACCCCCCGTAAATTACCCAGCGGCGGTTTATTCAGTTTCATCAACTTTTCTGAGTAGTATTTTTTAATCTTTTAGAAATAAGCGACTGATTTCTGTTTACCATTGTACTGCAGACAAAGCTTCATGGCAGTTTTTTTCAATTTCACTCCCCCCGCCTCCCCGCTGCCCGTTGGAGGCCCCACCCGTATAACCTTTATTACCACTATCCCCGTAAGACATGGTTCGACGGTTTCGATTTCCTTACCCCACGCATATACTTAATCCTTACCTAAAAGCCTTTTTTGAGGTTTCTGTTAAGCTTGGTATGCGAATCGCTCCTAAGCGGCAATCATCAACTTGCAGATAATTTTTGTCATGTCCCTAAAAAGTATTGTTTTATAAATGACTTTCACAAACAAGCAAAAGTAGTCTTCTTCAGGGATCGTGCTACTGAAACTCGACGTCGAATTGAGTGAACTGATCTGATGAACATAGGGCTTGCGAATACTTGCCTTTTTCATTAATCAGTGATTTTTTCATGAAAGTTTTGAGCAAAGAGGAGACCTTCGAAACGAGAACTCTCATCCGCGACCAGGTTAAAGACATCTACTTGCTTAACTCGTCGCAAAAGCGCATCTCTCCATGTACATATAGTTGGGAAACTTACTCCGCCGAGGGCTTTTTCGAGGATATATTAATTATAGAGAGCCAGGAAGTATTTGTGTTCCTCGTAGCTTCCTTGGGCCTACATATTCCTTAATTTCTGGAAAGTAGTTTCTTTTGTCCAAATTTGTAGTCGCAGTAAAAAGTCGCCGTTTTTTTCACTAGTTCTTCTCTGTCCTCTAACGCTGAAACTTGTTTTCTTAGAAAGAGGAGATGCTTCCCAACATAATAATTGCCCTGGAGACATTTCTATGCTTTGTAACTGCCTACAGCAAAAAAACTATGATATTTTTTGTTATACTTTGCCTTTTTCAACTGCCTGCTTGCACTTTTCGATAGGAGTTACTGAACCCCACGTATACTTTATGGTCAGATAGTCAGTAAATGTAATTCCGTTCAGTCCCAGAAGACAATACTTGAAAAACTGACCGCAGACGATACTCTGGTCCTGGCCAATACAATTAACGAGTGGTACCGGGCTGCGCTAGGGAACTATGAGAGAGTGTTTCCCAGAGGAGACGAGAAGGGCATCAAAATGATGCCCTATATTGACTCCAGTGGTGGTGACGGCCTCAGTGTACCCTCCGGGCATATTGGAAATCCTCGCTACTATGACGTCCTTGTGCACCAATTTCTGCGTAAATACGAGGACCTAAAGGAGAGGTCAAATGCTGATCCAATAGATGTAGAACAGGTTGCTGGAAGTGACATTTTGGAAGACCAGGAAATGCTCAAGAGAATTGCGGAACGACTGAACTTAAAACCGGAGGGTATCGTCGTCGTGGCCACTGCTGTGAAAAAGTGAGTTAACTTCATTTGTATGCGTTTAGTTGCTAAGGTATAAATACGAATAACATGTTCGAGGAGTTATCAGTTGCCTTACATTTTGAAACAGTAAATCATAAGTTCCACGATTCTAATAACCGTACTCTAGCACTCCGCCGGCTAAGTCAATCGACTCAACCAACCGTAGACACTTTGCTGTTACTGACTGCGTACTAATGAGTTTGCTTGAGTTTTTACAGCGTAACAGGATTACAGTTATGGTCAATTCCATTCTTTAACAGCGGCACTATAAAGAAGAAGCAAGCATGCACTATCAGGATGTAAATATACAAAAATTTGATGCTTATAGGTCATCAATCGTCTTGAAGGGAATGGAGATTGAAGTCTGCTGAGCACGCTCTGCTGACATTTGGTTGTAATCAATGAAGACCTGTAGCTTAGTCCCATTCTTTCACTGAAATACTCGGACGACCATCACAATCATATTACGTATGGGGTTTTAAATATTTATTCCGGTTTATACTGGATCGCTCTTTGGCCTTCTAAATGTCTGTGATTGTGGCCCGAAGTGGCTAGTGTCAGTGTTTCGTCATAGGGTATAAATAAAGCCGTTGAATGAAGTCTCGGCAAATTGCTACCTATGCGACTTCTAATGCTTAGGTTCCTGTCCTCCCATTTAGTTCGTCCTTGACAAAGTGTGTCAAACTGGCAGATTGTGGCGAGCGAGCGTATCGTAATATTTAATCGGCGCTGGGGACGCTTTAGGTCGACTACCATCAGTCCTATGTGTCGTTTGGAAAATCATAGACCAGCTGAGTGTCTGCTGACGTTGTGAGCAAAACTTCAACTTAAATATGATAACTGCTAAGGTAATACACCGCCCTTTGCTAGAAACGCCCAGGTCTGACCTCAGTAGGCTCCAGTGCGTTGGCTAAATATACATACATGCATGCGCGCATTACTTTGCTTCCTTCTGATTACAGCAGTTAGGGTTACCCAATTTGACTGCCGGCTTGTATATTTCATGGCCTCCCCGCTTTCGTCTGGAAAGTTTCTAGGCATTGCACTTCGAGCAAGATACTGAAACCCTCAAATCGCCTCGCAGGTTACCCAAATAAAGAGAAATTTTTTATGAGCTTTACAAAACATCTTCTTGAAAACACAGAGTAATGTGCAGTTTTACTTATGCAGAAAGCATGCACCATGTAAACAGAAAACACTAAACGCAAATGCAAAGACAGATTGATCTCAAAAGTATTCGGGAATTGGGAAACCTTTTAAAACTGAAGAATACTCTTTTCTTGGATGTAAAACTTAAAGAAAACACAAGTAGTCTTCAAAAGAGTTTAAAAATGCTGTTATGCATGTTGTCTATAATACGTATTTGGATTTATAAGAGCGCCGGAAAGCAAAATGGAAAATTAATACTACTTCTTTGCCGGGTTCAGTTTTTACAGGCCGAAAAAAGTACATTCAAAAGTCAACATCCTGGCAGGAGGGACAAAATAAAGAACGGAAAAACCTCTAACAGCGAAACAGGACT